AGCTACAGGCAACATTCTTTTACAAAGGTACAGAGCTAGCAAGTAGAAAACGGCACAGGGTTAAAGCCAAAGAAACAGATCTAATATGGAGTCAGATCTGTTCTTTTCTATTACAGTAGTACTGGTGATAAAAAGATGAAGAGGGTGGTGTCTGCCTGTTTTGTCAGTGTTCAACTGCAGATATTAGAAAAACACTTTGACTTTTTTTGGGGGGGGTAATTAGGTTTATTTATTTTTTATTTTAATGGAAGTACTGGTGGTTGAACCCAGGACCACGTGCATGCTAAGCACACCCTCTACCACTGAGCTACACCCTCCCCCACTCCCCTGCACTTTGACTTTTTAAAGCTGAGACAGACTTAAAAATTGGGTTTTTACTAACTTACTGAATAGGCTAGAGGTGGTGACTCCAGGAATAACCTCCAGAACCACACGTTACCTCTCTTGCAGTCAGGAAGCTGAGATGTGTTCTGGTGAACTGAAGCTGCCCTTGTCAGAACTGTTGATTTTAGAGCCTTGCTGTGTCTCCATCTACAGACGGGCTGCTTTTTGCTTCATAGCCCCTCTTTCCACTTCACTCTGTCTCAAGTTTGTGTCTCTCTCTAGTGGACCAGGTTAGTGGACTCCCTGAACATATCTAGAACCCTAGCTGCTTAGGAGTCTGGAAAATGTAGTCCTTTCCTACCAGCTTCTGTGGTCCATGAAGCACAACTGAAAGAGGCGTTGAAGAAACCACCGTGCTACATCTGCCACAGCGTCGCTGAAAAGGAAACACAATATTTTTCTCCTCCAATGTGCTTTTGAGTAAATGGGGTCCAGGAAGTTGAATCAGAGTGTGCCAGAAGGGGAGGGGCTGGTGTCAAGCTCCTGCCCCCTCTCCCCCCAGAAGGTGAAGGGATGGGTGGCTGAAGCCAAGGGAATAGGTGAGATAACCCAAGTGTGTTTGAATCTCATTCACTGGATATTTTTCCAGAAACAGGAAAATGGCCTCACAGCTGAGAACTGGTGTGAAGGTGCAGATGACTGGGGAAGTGACAGTGAGGAGACGCCTTCATCGCAGCTTACCTTGGATTTTGGAAATGATTACAGCAGCGCCAAAGAGAAAGACTGGACTGCTCAGCTCCAAGACCTCCGCCTGCAGGATGCTGTCCGCGGTGCTGCTCCTCCTGTGCCCCCTGGGGAAGGGGTGGCCTTGCCTCCTGGGCTGCCGCAGTTCCCGCCCTACTACATCTGTGTGGTAGATGAGGATGATTACAGGGACTCTCTCAGTCTGGATCATGCTCACAGCCTTCTGAGGGACTATCAGCAGAGGGAAGGAATTGATATGAAACAGTTGCTTTCCCCAAGGTGAGAGGTTCAGAGGTGACTTGATCAGGAACCCACCACAGCAGGTACCCTTTGGTTTTACCTAGTACTTGGGGAAACTTTTTCAGGCTGAACTTGTGTGTGTAGGTCCTTTCTGCTTCACTCGTCTTGGATGAGAACGGGAGACAGAGACAAGGGGGTCTTATCAGCCACCTTTGAGTTAGCTTGGAAACACTTTATTTAGAAGGACCCTCAAGAAAATGAACAAACGGAAGTTAGGGATGCCAAGTACTTACAGAAGATGTGTTTACTATCCAACTTTTCTGTTGTTAAATGTACAGCAGAGACAAGTGAGTTGCAAAAAGGCCATTTGTTTATTGACTCTTGGACATGGCTCAAGAACTGGCCTAGGACCTCGGAGACCCTCCTAGAGCCTGAATTCTCCCCTGTAAAATGGGAGTGATACTGATAACTGTGTCATGTATCTCTTCAGGTGGTTTTTGGAGTCAAGTGAGAGAATAGGTCTTGAAAGGCTTTATAAACCGAAGCCCTCTAAAGAAGTAAGAGTAATGTAATCCCTTTGCTATTAAAATAGAATTACAACAGGGTATTTGGAGAGATGACCTGAGCTGTTTCACTTGTAAGCTTTTTCAGAATAGTGTTGGAGTGCATGAAGACATGTTAGTGTTTGAAAATAATCAGTAATGGAGAAAGAAATGGAGAGGGTCAGTGGGCATAACGACTTTTAAAATTGCAAATAATTATCCAGAGTTGAAAATGGCTAGGAAGCAGGGCTTGGAAGAAGGGTAGACAGAGGGTTACTGTTTTATATTATAAAGTATTACATTTTTTATATTTTTGATACTTGAATTGTGTGCATATATTACTTTGGTAAAGTTTTTAAAAATCATCTTGTTTCTTCTAAATACTGTAATTCTCTTGGATGTAGACACTCAGGTGTTTTCTGCTTCTCTTCTTAGTCTTTCTGGTGATGGTGATGAAAAATATGAGAAGACCGTAATTAAAAGTGGAGATAAGATGTTTTACAAATTCATGAAGAGAATTGCTGTTTGTCAGGAGCAGATTTTGAGGTAAAGGCACATTTTCTTTAAATACTAATGTATGTCAGTTTAGAAAATACAGGAAAATATAATGAACAAACCAAAATCTACAATATTCCCCAAACTGAAAAGCTAAGATTTTAGTGTATTAAGTGTGTTTTTTTATGCATTTGGATGCATGTGTGAAGTGTAGGTATTGTGTATTTTTAAAAAACGTAGTTGGGGTCATAGAATACTTACAATTATAAAAAAAAGTTCAATAAAAATTCATTGATATTGAGGGTTTTCCTGTATATTAAAATTTTTTCATAATGTTTTTCTGCTTTTTTTAATTTAAATTTTCAGTAAGTAATACATTCATAAGGCTCAAAAACAAATATATTCATATGCATAGATGTATAAATACAGTGAAATAATTCCTTCCCTACCATTCAGATTTACCCAGGTAACCACTGTTGTTAGTTTCCTATGTGTGCGTACAGTTTCTTTATGCATGTCGAAGCAAATATGATTACCTTTCTTTTTTTTTACACAAAAGAGGGCATTCTAGAAACATTCTGTGTCTTGCTTTTTTAACTATATTATATCTAGGGGTACATTGAGAACTTTGTTTGAAAAAAAAAAGCTTTATAGTAGTGTGATCTCTTGTCCATTTTACTTGTTGAGGAATTTTTTTTTCCGGGGAGGGGCAGAAAATTAGGTTTATCTCTTTTTTTATTTTCAGAGGAGGTACTGGGGATTGAACCCAGGACCTCATGCATGCTAAGCATGCTCTCTACCACTTGAGCTATGTCCTCTCCCCTTGTTGATGAATATTTAATGTTTCCAGACTTTTGCTGTTACAAGTTATGCTACCCAGCAGCCTTGTACCCATATCATTTTGCACGTGTGCAGGTACATCAGTAGGACACATTTCCTGAAGTGGCAGTTAAGCAAGTGGGTGCCAGAGGAGTGATACGATCATGCTGAGATTAGAGAAAAGGAATCCAGGTGAGAGATGGTGAAAGGGTTTGGATCAAGGCAGAAGATATAGGAAGGAGGGGACACATGTGTAAGATATTTGTATAATGGCAGGTCTTGGTGACCCTTGGATATGAGAGTAAAAGATTGGGAGGAAACAAAAGTGGTTTTGAGGTTCTGGCCTGTAATGTTGAAGGAGTGTTGATGCTACTCTGGAGATGGGGGTTTAGGAGGCTGTTATCCGGAGTGTGGGGGGGTCTTGATTTTTCTTGGACTACAGAGTGTGTCCTTGTCAGTTTGACTTACCTTTGTTATAATAGTTTTGATTTTATTTCCCCTGTGCATTTTACTTTACAAGTTTTGTATACTAAAGGTATAAAACTTTGTAATAACAAGTGCCTATAGGGTATTGAATCAGAGATCTTGGAAGTTCAAGACCTGGGTCTTCCATTTCTAGTTGTGGTCTGTGGGCGAGTCACCTTTGTTAATCTCAGTGCCTCACCCCTAAAATGAACATGATGATACAACTATTTATTTTGTAGGATCCCTATGAGAATTAAATGAGGTGATGATGAAAATACTCTGTAAAGCATACATAAAGACTCACTGTTTGAAATCCACTTTGCTACCTTATGGGGAAGCAGAGATCTGTCAGGATCTCTTAGTATTGGCATATTTATGGATTCTTCATATGATCTTAGGACAGTATATAACTGTCTTACAAAGCACAGTACTCATACATAGTAAGTACTTCACTGAGTATTTGGTGGAGCTGGCATCTTTCTGCACACAGGAGAGATGAAAAGAACCTTGGTTTTGAGCAGATGACTTTACCTTTATTTCTTTTCTGTAAAAAGGGCCAAGGGCTTAATACCTACAGAATGGGAAGATTTACAGAATGTTTGGGAGGATTCACTGAGCACGTTCATTCATCCAACAAATATTTATTGAGTCTATCTGGATGCCAGGCAGTGTTACAGATGTGCAGATACAGCAGGAAGTGACACAAAGTTTGTGTTTTTATAGATTTTACCTTCTAATGAGGGAGGTTAAAAATAAACAGATGTATTGTATGAGTTCTACAAGTGATAAATGAAGAATAAAACAGAGCTATTTTAAGTAAGATGTCAGGGAGGCCTCAGAGGAAATGACATACCCAGCAGGTTACAGAGTATAAAAGTAGTGACGTAGGGAAAACTTGGAAAAATGGGTCCACATAAAGTGGGCATAGTAAAATCAAATGGTCTTTCTCCCCTAATACCTGGCACAATGAATATAAAAGGTAAAAGTCAGCCAGAAATAAAACTAAAAAAATAGGTATTAAAAAGAAAATCCCTTCCATCAGCATTTAATTATTACAGGGGCTTAATACCCTAAAACTCAAAAAGTGGCAGCCCAGAATGTAATATCACTAAATGTCTAATACAATTCTGGGTGCCTCACGTGTCTTTATTTATTCATGTAATTAATTTACTCTTCACAGAGAAAGGTACAAAAATTTCTGGTATGGTTTAGTTTGAGTTCTAACAATACAGCTTTCTTCTCTCACCTCTTCAAAATGTACTGCTTAGTCCACAAAATCCTGAGAATTGTAGTAATAATCTTGAATCTAGAAAGAAGCAAATAGAATAATCTGCATCTTCTGATATCAGGATGTTGGCCAAAGAACTAGGCATGAGGGGATGATGTTGTGCAGGGAATTGGGAATTACCTCTCAGAAGCAAAAGTTGCTGGGTTCCGTGATGAGTTACATAATGATAAGAAAATCAAGGGCAGTTTCTCCCCCGTTAGAATGGAATCTCTCCCAACATGTAAGACATTTCACACTATCTCAGAAGTAAAAGCAAAGCCTAGGTGTTTCAGTAGATTGCATCTAGCCTTAGTAGAACTGTATCCCCACCTCAGTTCCCTGTCTTTTACCACCTGCAGAAAAGTAGAGACAATGAAAAATGGGCTTGGAGAAGGGGAAAGGAACAGACGTTGGGTATGAGATTGATAGGAAATAGATAAGAAACCCCGCACACCGTTTTGGAGCAAATAGGTGGTCTAAACAGAGTTGCCCTCTTTAGGCATGAGCTAGATGAAAAGTGGCACGTCACCCACGTAGTCATACTGTGGGCAGTAAAAATACAGAAATGAATAGTGCATGCAAAAATGAGCCGAAAACACAATCTAAGGAACACATAATTCACGGCAGATTTTTTAAGATACAGAAGAACTTCGTAAGAAAATTCATTCAGGAAAATCCAAGAGCTCAAAGGTGAGAAAAATAAAGTAGTTATGAGAAGACAAGGGAAACTGATTTCCTGAAGAAGCTAAGCCACACATTACATATCTAATAAACTTAGAAATAAGGAACATACTAGACTTGGCTAAAAATCACAGTACTGATGTAGTGAAAAGAGTTGCAGTGATTTAGTGAATGCAGAAAAATAGACAGTGCAATCAGAGAGAAGGCAATATGAGAGAGGGTGGTATCTTTGGAAGCTTGATAAAGATAGTTACTATAAGGATAATTGGTGTCCAAAATAGATATTCTCAACAAATGAATCAAAAATAGTACTCAAAGATGAAATAGGAGATTTCTCCCCAAATAAATAAGAACTAAATCTAAATATTAAAGCACGTTGTGTATAAGAGTGGTTGAAGTGAGAAACCTAGGTTGGTGATGGTTTTAAAAATATTGTCTGTCTTTTAAATTTTTACTGTCATTTTGGTAGGTAGTTGTGGTATTTCATCGTGGTTTCCGTTTTCATTTTCCTCATAACTAGTTGGGCATCTTATATCTGCTTATTCAGCATCTATGTATCTTCTGTAGTGAAGTGTGGGTTCTTAAACAGCTTTATTTTGGTACAGTTTACATACAACAAACTGCCCGTATTTAAAATGTACACTTTGCTAAGTTTTGACATATGTGTACACCCGTGAAACCATTGCCACAATCAAGGTAATAAACATCTGTCACCCCCTAGAAGTTTTCTCATACTACTTTGTCTCTTGCCCTGTCCCAAGTCTCTCACTCAACCCCATGCAACGGCTGATCTTTTTGTCATTACATCTTAGTACATTTTCTATAAATTTATATAAATGAATTCACACAGGATAATAGTTCTTTGTAGGGGCAGGTGCCTGGTTTCTTTCGCTCAGCATAATTTCAAGATTCATCCTTGTTGCTTGTATCATGTATTTTTACTGTTGTGTAATACTCTCTTGTATGGATATACCACAGTTTATTTATCCTTTTAATGGATATTTGTGTTATTGCCAGTTCTGGGCTATTGTAAATAAGCTTCTATAAACATTAATTTGTTGTGTATATTAGTATAAGTCTTTGTATGGACATATGCTTTCATTTCTCTCAGGTAAATATCTAGGACTGAAATGGTTGGATCTTATGCTACTATGCATATTTAACTTTTTAAGAAACAGCCAAAGTTTTTTCCAGAGTGGTTATACCATTTACATTCCTTTCAGCAGTGTGTAAGAATTCTGGTTCCTCCACATCCTTGCCAATACTTGGTATGGTCAGTGTTTCATTTCAGCCATTCTAGAAGATGTATAGTAATAGCATTTCCTTGTGGTTTTAATTCATTTTTTTCCCTAATGACTAGTGATGTTGAACATCTCGTTTTCCATCTGTATTCTCTAAACTTTGGGAAAGTGTCAGTTCACATCTTTTGCCCATATTTTTGTTGTTGCTTATCTTTTTGCTATTGAGTTGCAGGAATTCTTCATATGTTCAGGATATGAGTCCTTTTTGAGATATATACATTTCACGTATTTTCTCCCTGTTTGTGGCTTGCCTTTCATTTTATTCATAGGGTCTTTTGAAGAGAGTTTTAAATTTTGATCAAGTCCAGCTTGACAGTTTTGGTTTTTTTTTGATGGTTTACACTTTTTATTTCCTAAGAAATTTCTACTTGACCCAAGGTAGCAAGGGATTTTTCCTGTGCTTTCCTAGAGAAGATTTTTTTTTATTTCTTACATTTAGGTCTGTGATCCAATTTGAGTTAATTTTTGTACATATCATTTTTTTTCCATGTGAATATCCGATTGTTGCACCAGTTTTT